TGTTTAATATGTTTTCGTGAAGTATTTCTAACATGCTAGTTACTTGAATGGTTGTAAATTGTACGTGTATAAGTGATAAAAACATCTAGTGCTTTGTGCTTCCTTTTTTTTGTTGGTGTCCCAGCCCAGCATTCCTAGCCAGCAGTAGTAGCAAAAACATTAACATTGTCTACATTCAACCCATTTACATGTACATGATTTATCAGCTAAAAGCAGAATACAATATTTCTCTGCAAAATGTAAACAATGCTACAAGGAAAATTGACCATGTATAAATTCAACAATTAAATCAAAATATATTTTTAAAGGACTTATATCAACTATTATGTTAATTGTAAATATTGTAACAAAATAATAGTTCTGTATTAATAAACATGTTGCTACTCCAAAAAATATATTGTTTATTGACTATCAGGTATCAAAAATATGTGTACATATAGAAATTTGTTTAAATGTTCTATTGCTCTTAACCTTTTTAATAGGTTCTTTTTATAGTTGTAAATAAAAATCAACACTTTTTATCCGTCTATTTAACAATTACAAACGTATGCATATTTTAAGTTGTAAGGATCCGTAGCCTCTTAATGTTTTACCTTAGAAATAAGACCTGTGATGTCGTATTAAATCATGAATATGAGGTAAATGATTTGGGAGTTGTCTTTCAGTCTTATTTGAAGTTCAATAACCATTTCTTACACATAACTAAAAATCTGATGTGTCCAACACATGACTTTCCTATCTAGTTATTACAGGCTTTTTCCGGTTATTTTGTATAACCTATTGCAGCACCTCCATAAATGTTTAGAGGATAAAATAAATATATACATTTTCCACACACATCTACCTCGAAATATTTTTCTATAGATATTCATTGAAAATTAAAATACTGAAAATTTAAATTTACCACATTTCCTACAATTTTTCCATTACGGTCCATTTTAGAAAAATCATGTTATAACAAAAATTATAGAGATCGATATCGCAAACAACTTTAAGTTCAACAATTTTCATAAAAATCAGAATTTTGCACATTTTGTCAAATTTCTCGAATACGGACCATTTCAGGAAATTTTGACATAAAACAAAAATTATAGATAATAATATTGGAAGTAACTTTTATTTGAACAATTTTCTTCTCCAAACATAAATAACAGATATATTCCATAAAATATAAAAACGGCCTCTCATAAAGTACCCCCCTAGATGTTCCGACTTTGTCCAAAATCTAATCATTTTACGTCAGGCCGAAATAAACCTTAAGTTTAAAATTTAATGTTTTTTTCTTTATCCGTTTTTGAGTTTTCTTCAAAATTCGAAATTTACACATTTTCTCAAATATCTCGAATACGGTCCATTTTAGAGAAATTATGTATAGAATAAAAATTATAGAGAATTATATAACAAACAACTTTTATTTGAACAATTTTTATAAAAAAATATTTTTTTTACATTTTGTCAAATTTCTCGAATACGGACCATTTTAGGAAAATTTTGTATAAAACAAAAATTATAGATAATTATATTAGAAGTAACTTTTATTTGAAGAATTTTTTTCTCCAAACGTAAATAACAGATATATTCCATAAAATATAAAAATGACCACCTATAAAGTACCCCCCCAGATGTTCCGACTCTACTCAAAATCTAATCAGCTCATTAGACGTTGGAATAAAGCTTAAGTTTAAAATTTGGTGTTTTTCTGTGTATTGGTTCATGAGTTATGCGACCTACAGACACACACACACACACACAGACATCATCGCGAAAATAGTCAAAACGGATTCAGGGGACCTCAAAACGTAAAAATCCGTCGAAAACTCGAGGTCGAAAAAAATCATGATTCCTATACTTTCCTTATATCTGTATACAGATAGGAAAGTAAAAAAGCAATAAAAGCTTTAGGTTCTTAAATCAGAAATACAAAACATTTTAGGATTATCACCAAAATCAGATTATATAATGCCTTAGTAAGACTCCATCTTGAGTATGTTTCACAAATATGAATGCCCTTGGAAGCCACACAAATTGATCATATTGAAAAAGTACAAAAAATATTTTTACAGTACCTTTATGTCATAAAAAATACTTGTACCCCTATACCTAAGATCTCGTATAAAACTATGCTCGATAGTTTTAAGATTAAATCTCTTTTACAAAGAAGAAATCAACAGGCTGTGATATATTTTGTACTCTATTTTAAGTACAAAGATTGTGAATTGATTGACTATATAAATGTTAATGCGGCAAAGATTAATCTAAGAAACCCAAGTAACAAAAAATTATTTGATTTAGATCCAAGTAGTATATCTCCTTTTAACAAGATGATGGCTGTTACCAATGACTTTCTTAGCGAGGTCCAAATAGATATCTTTAATGTTAGCCTAAGAAAGTTGAGGACTGTACTAAATTAAGTTCACTAGATATAAAGGTTTGTTTTGTTTTTGGTCTTAAATTTCTTGTTACTTAACTCTACATGTAACTACTATTAATTTTTTTTATAGTATCCAATAAATAAATTATATCTTATGGCTGCTTTCAAACAATTCTGTGTGTAGTCACTTAGTTTAAAGTCAATTTTAAATTAGTAGTTTTACAAGAATGTCAAATAGTAATATGTATTGTGTCTATGAATTTGCTGTGTGTAGTAAAATGGCCAATATACATAACTTTGATATTTTTATCACAAGTGTAAAAACTACGAAAACCATATACATATAGTTCCCATTTTAAAATAAATTCAAATTAATTCATAATAAAAAATAACGATTTTAGTCTGCCATACTTGAACTCATTCACAAAAATAAGACTGAGTATATATTTATAAAAAAAAACTACACTAAATATGTCTCCGTTACAAATTTTAAATTTAAAACTACATACTTTCCTATAGATTTTGCAGTACCTAAATAACGTATAGAATAAATTTTTACAATATACTAGAAAAGTTTTAGATTAGAGTAATTCTTAAGAAATAAAGCAATACCTCTATTTTGTTACTCTAACCTTGTGTGTTATATATTTTTCTTGACAAAAACGTTATATTTTGAACTAAAAGTAATTAAACTTTTCACCAAAAAGTAATATTTCACATATATAAAAAAATTTAAAACGGTTCTGTCCTTCTTACATTTGCGAAGACTGCCCTGATATCTAATCTATTTTCATCTTCAAAGTAATTAAGTTGTTCAACCGTTGTCTATAAAGGTATCTCACATCTCCCTCATACACACGAATTTGAAAAACAGCAGAATACAAATTCAACTAACCAGGTATACCAAGTCCGTGTAAAGAAAACTTTTCATATCCCGAAAACGTCAAGTGTCAACTAAAATTTCTACTTTTAAAGATCAAACGTGCCGCCTCAGAGTGCCAATACTGATTGGTATATATACTGGGGTATCTTTTTAAGTATTGCAACAACTGCAGCGGCGAAATATCCTTCTCAGCATTAAAAAGAATTAAAAACTATTTGCGTTCTTCGTTGGGACAGGATAAATTAAATAATTTGAGCATATTATCCATCGAGAGTGAATTATTTAATAATTTAAATACATTGGATATTATTAAACAATTTGCTACCGAAAAGACAAGGAAAATAAATATTTAGGGTATTGTATTTTTTGTTAACCGTATAAAATTTATTAATTTCTAGAATTACTTATTATTTTTATATTTACAAACATTTTTTAATCTTTATATTATTAGTTTGTTTACTGTTTTGTACACACATATTATAATAAAAAACATTTATTTTGCTGAATTAATTGTGTTTTTTAATTAAAAAGGTGAATTTAAGGACACTTTTTTATTCTGTTACAATGTGTATTAGTATTATTTCTATCTAAATCGTTTTTCTATTATTAAGAGGGGCGCATAATTTCTAGTAGCCCAGGGGCGCCAAATATCTTAGGAAGGCCCTGGTCAAACGTCAAAACATAATTTTAAACCGTTATGAATCTTTATTATGTCCTTATGTTGATTTACCATTTTGTTGAACTAGAAATTGGATTAGGAAATGTTTTCTTTGAATTTTTTACCTCCTTGGGGTCTTTTGAGGTATTTTGGGCAATACATAATTGTAAACGTTTTTGGATCTTATTGTGCCTTTTTGACCATTGATCAGTCTTTCAAAGTTGAAATTTATCCCAAAACTTTTGGTTTTCTATAATTTACCCCTAACATAATCAAAAATTGGTTAATCTTATGGTGCAGTCAGTTTTAAAAAATATTAACTTCGGGGGCTAGCGGGCACTCAGCCATTAATATTTTTATAAATATTTAGGTTTCTGAGTGTGGTCAAAAAAAGTTAGTGTGTGGTCAAAGATGGTCAATAGATGGTCAAACGTATGCTGCTTTTAAAACTAAAATTTTCGAATTTCGGGGGCCAGCTTCACAGAACTAATAGTGGCTAGTGATGAAAATATTATAAAACATAAGTTTGCAATGCTATAGCTAAATGGAAAACGTTATAGTCTGAATAAAATATAAGCATCATTCATAAGTTTGGTGACAATACTTGAAAATCGGATAAAATTCTCACTGTTACCGTAATGTTTGTAAATCGGAGTTGGCTCACCTTATAGGTATTCCCACCGTGGTCTAAGATTGACATATTTTAGTTCATTGTCATGCAAACTTTGATATACGTAGTTTGTCGCATTTTGTGAATAACACTGAAGTTGTTTTGGAAGGGTTAATTATAATTACCAATTCTTTATCCAACTTCAACATTATTTCGGGAATCTGATGGACCTATAATTAAACAATCGGTTTCGAAACTGTCCAGAGATTAGTTAAAATAAGCCTCATGCTAAATGTAAAATTGATTACTACCTAACAGTTTATGAGGGATGTGTCTTAAGGATTAAAAGTGTTAATCAGTTATGACGAGTGATAGTATTTATTTTTGTACTAAATTTTGATGAATCGAACAGACCATTGAACCATCAAATCAACAAAATGTTATAATCCAATTGTTAACCAATTTATTGTTTTTTCAGATTGTTACAATAATTTAATGGGTAACTCGTATTACGGATATACATGACTTGTTTCGTGTCCATTATTGTATCACTTATTCGATAATAAAGGTGCTTCTGAAGTCAAAAAGTGTTTTATTCTGTTACTTAGTAAATATTCCTACATTCAAACCTCGCAAAAATATTTTTTCTACAACAAAACATGACAGTAGAAAAATAGAACCTCACAAGCAATTTAAAAGCTTCCAACTTCTATAAAATCTAATTTGGAACAATTCAAAAGTCGTAATGCAAAAGAAGAAGAAAATAAAACTCGAATACGGGTCGAAAAATGAAGTTAAACACTCCTCCCGTCGTCGCTTAAGTCGTCGTATTTTTTAAGTTAATTGGTTCTGAAAAGAACTTTTCCACTCACCGATTTTTCCGCAGTTTATGTCAAGATAATTAAATTTTTAAACTGTTTTTCACCCGGCCCAGAGGCCTGTCATTTTCTTTTCACTCTTTTCATTATTTCGATACCGCCCTCTATGCTCCGCCCGCAGTTCCATGGGCTTAGATTTAGGGGGATTTAAAGTAATAATAATTAAAAACGTCGTTCATTAATAAATAATGTAAGTACAACAGTTTTCTTAAAAAGGCGAATATTATGTAAGTAGCTATTCATATCATATTTCAGAAAGAGCGTGAAAGACAGAGTGAAAAGATAATACAGGGTATCCGGAAATACCGTTTCACGATAATTTCATTATTTTACATAAGAAACATCAGGGGGGGATATCGCGCATAGTGTCATGGCGGCGCTGACGTCATGCGTAGAGTTAGAAGAGTTGGCACCAAGTAAATAGAGAGTTGACGTATTTCTAGTACGTTAACGTAAACATGAACGTCAACACACGAAAATAATGGTTACGGTCTAGTCCAAAATAAGAGTTGAAGTTGTTAAACGCGTCGTGACATTTACGTGTCATGACAGATAATGACAATTATTATTAGGATTTCTTCTTTCCTAATTAAAAAGAGGTTATTTTATTTGTGTTACGTGCATACGCCAGAGCCCCCATGCGTAGATGTCAATTTTCACGTATACGTTTACGTTCATAGCATCACTTCAACTTTCTAATATCATATGACAGACGCATGTTGAAGTGATTTGTAAGTTATTAATAGTGATTTATAACATTTTAAGCGAATATCTGTATTATATTATATTGTAAACAGTGATCTCCGTGAGTGGTATTAGTGATATAAACACTAAAAATGAGGTACGCAATTTACGGATGTAACAGTAACAAAGCAAAGGAGTTAAAAAAGACGTTGTTTTTCACATTCCTCGACAGTAAGAGGTTAGTCAAAAATGGCAAAAGGGCGGCTCTAATTGTAGGTCCCAGGGAGCCTTGTCTCTTTCTTAATTAACATTTTTACATTCCATGAGGCTTTTATTAAAAAAATATACTAAAAAGGGAAATGCTACCCACTCCTCCTCGAAAATTTGACGAAGACACCCTTGCAGTGGCCTGTGGCCGTGCAGATAAATTTAAAAGAGAAAATTGTCGTATGCTCCAAGCACTTTTAACCTTTTAAATATAAGATGGACCTCAAAGCAAACCTTTTCGTTAGTTCATTCACAACTCAGGACTTCTGAATTGGGGACTCTACCCTTGTGAAAGTGGAAAATTTTGGCATGTTGTACTTGATGAAAGAATTAAAAAACTGTCAGTGACTAGGTCCAGGAAAAATGCAGTGACGTTTTATTTTAATTTCGTATGTACACCCACCATATAGCAGATATTTGTATTTGGTACATTTATTTTTATGCTTTGAATTATATTATATGTATGAAAAATATTTTTTAAAAACCTGTTTTTGTTATCGTACTTACACATAAATCCCATCTTATTCATAAAATAAGTTGTTAAGTATATTTAATTGCAGATAAATGAGTCATCAGTTGCGAATCCTAATCATGTAAATAGTCCCAAGGTGCGAAATTTTAACCCAGGGTCCCCAGTTGAGAAATTCCGAGTTGCGAAGAGACCCTTCTCATTATCCTGGTTATAGAAACTATTCTTTAGACATCGAATGTTCTTCTAAATTAAAACCTACATATAATTTATATAACAAAAATAAATCATCAAAAAGAAAAAGGAAAAACTGATACTTCAAATAAATATTTCTTTCATGTATGTATTTGAGTTTATTTTCCTTTATAGCTTTTTCCTTAACTATCCCACAATAATATCCTTAGATATTTGATGTCATTTTTAAAATATCCTTTAATATTTATGAAATTTCTGTAAATATTATTTAGTTTCCTCATACTTCGACAGTATTTTTAAATTCCCGCCTATACAAACTCTACGCATGACGTCATGCGCGTGGTCGTCCTATTTTTGACACAGTTGATATCGTACCTTCTATTTTTTATACCATGAGAAAACATAACAATTTTTTCAAATGAACCTGGGTCTGATGTGCATAGTTTTTAACATACAGATACAACCCAGTTTTTGATAGAATTTGTGGCCCAAAGATTTCCAATGATTTATTTTTTTTTTTTCACAAAACCGAAACAATAAGAAAACAATTCAAGAAAAACAATGTTGTGTTTTTAGTTGTTTAACCCGATTAAATAAATTTAAAAAAATGAATTGGCGCTCATTTTTTAATTAATAATATTCGGTAAGATGCCCCTTCCCCGGGGCTAATTTAACTCCATATTACTATTGACTCACTGTATCTTAAAAACTATGCATTTCCGGAACCAGGTTCATGTAAAAAAAAATCCTAAAATTATATAAACGGCATTTCCGGACACTCTGTATAGAATTTTTATTTAACACATAGCATATTGTGTAAAAACTTAATTAAAATATTGTTTTTTGTTTTTTTTTTATTGTATTCTTATAATATAGAAGATTAGATGAATAAATAAGAAGAACATCCGTATGAATAAACTCCTGGACAAAATTAACGCACCACTTAACGTACCACTTATATTTTGCTCGATAATCTTTATTTATTGATAACTTACTGTACGACAAGTATGCCATGGACCTTGTTTGATAGTGACAGTTGTTTTTTAAACTAGCTAGTGTCACGTAATACCTTGTTTTGACAGTATTTTGTATTAAACCTCGTTTTAGACTAAAACTGTGTTAACATTTTCTTAAAAAGTGCTGATTAAAGCAAAGTTTCTGTTAGAAGCAAGCTGTTGATTGTAATTGTTTTTATGGAAGTTCATTTGGGAGAATATCAAGTAAAAAAAAATGAACCGACAAAGAAATCTGTCATTGGAGGAGGCAGTGCGAGCATCGACTCTCCTGAATGAAGGATATTCAATGCGATATGTTGCTGGTTTGATTCCAGCATCAGTCGCATAGTGAGGTGACATGATGAAACGGGTTCTACCATCGAAGACCAGGACAAGGGCGAAAACGTTGCACTAATCAAATTGATGATCGTTTTTTGAGACAACGTGCTCTTAGAGACAGGAGAGTAACCAGAAATCTGCTTAAAAATGAATTAACAGATGTTCGAAATATCGCTAAATCGTCTCGAACGGTTAGAAGACGTTTACATGAAGCAGGATTAAGCAACAGAAGATCAGCCAAAAAACCCTTGCTTACCAGAGAACACAAAGTTCAGAGATTAAATTTTGCAAGACTACATCAGAATTGGACCATCAATGACTGGAAACGGGTTCTGTTCTCCGATGAAACTAGAGTTAGCCTTAAAGCTCTAGAGGGACGTGAGCGTGTCTGGCGAAGACAAAAAGAAAGGTTTGCCAGCTGTAATATCTCTCCTAAAGTGCCTTTTGGTGGTGGCTCTAAAATGTTTTGGGGAGGAATTTGCTTCGATGCTCGTACGAAGTTGGTCCCTATAGGTACGAGGTCTATTAATGCCCAATATTACTTAGACACCATTATTGTCAAACATGTAATGCATTTTGCTCCGTTTGTTGGGCTCAATTTTTTATTCATGTAGGACAACGCTCGTCCCCACGTGGCTAGACAGGTTATTGGTTACTTACATGATGTTAATATTCCTTTATTAGAGTGGCTACCTAACAGTCCGAATATGAATCCTATAGAACATCTATGAGACTATCTCAAAAAAAGGATTCGAAGTTATAGACCCCCTGTTTCTAATCACAACCAACTCATAGAGGTCGCTATTGAAGAATGGGAGAATATACCGCAAGCTTTTGTCGAACATTTGATATCAAGCATGCCGCGACGCATGAATGCAGTGATAAAAAGTAGAGGAGGGCCTACGCGGTATAAGGGTTGACCCAGATGCATTTATTCTCTTTTACTGATTTTTTTTCTTTTTTCAATTTGGAGTTATGCTAGCTTATTTATGCATTTCCAGCAAAAACAAATTTTTATGGAAAAAATAAGGTAAATTAAGGTCATGTAAAGGTTATATATTTGACTAATTTTTAGGTGTTCATCATTATTTCTATGTAACTTAGTTTTATATTGTGTTTATATTGTAAATATTTAGATTAATTAAAGTGGTGCGTTAATTTTGTCCAGGAGTTTAGTTACCTGCGCGTAAATCCTTTAAAATAGAAACGTCAATTCAGGTAAACAACCAACTTTCATCACGGCAACGAGAAAAGAAGTCGTAGATATGACTATGTGCTTGGGTAAAGCAAGTGACTTCAAAGTGGCATGTATCAAACGAACCATCGTGCTCAGATCACAGACAGATTAGATTTGATCTAATTACCCCACCTAGAATTTTAACCAAATACAGAAACCCTAGAGAGACGAATTGGGCAAGGTATTCAACATCACTTAAAGAGTATCTCGAAGAGGTATGGTGGAAATAATAAGTGAACAAAGCCTTGACCGAGCAGTAGACCAAGTAAGTAAGGCCATTCACAGATAACAATTATACATTATTAGCATATTCTTAGTATATACTTTTTAAGAATACGCATATGCTGAGAATATACTGTATTTGCATTTGGTACATTCTCAGAATATGCTAAGCATATGCTACGTGACGTTGTTTATACATGCTATGCAGATACTGAGAATGTACTTCAAGTATGTGTACA